TGTCACAGATACCAAAAAAAAAAAGTAAGGAATGGTTTCGACTTTCAAGGAACTCGAAGTCTACTTGGGAAAATAATTCACAAGCACTTGGAACTTTGGGAAATGTATTTAGTAAAAATAACAGATGGTTCCAAACTTGTCCGTAGCTATGCAAGAGGCATTTCAGGGCGGTAGCTGGTGGATTGCCAGGAGCCCAGAGGGAAGGTGTGGTGAGGAAAAGAGAAGGTCTGAGGATTCCAGTGGTAGAAAGGAGTTTATATATTCGCTAATGGGATACATATTGTGAACAAAAACAGGGAGGGGGATATAAACCACATTGGGAAGAGCTGATGGCAAGAGAAGATAAGGAATTAGATATGTGCTTAAAAGGACCTCTGATCTATTTTTTTTTATTCTATTTTAAGGAGCAATCTAATTCTGTCTATTGATTGGATGGTGGTCCTCAGTCTTGGTGGCACAATAGAATAACCTGCTCAGCATTTAGAACTACCTGTGCCTGGGTCAGGGCTTGAACCCCCAGGTGAGGCCCCAGGCATCAATTTTTTTATTTTTATTTTTATTTATTTATTTATTTTAGTTCTCCAGCTATGTGTTATGTTCAGTTAGGGTTGGGAATCACTGGACTATGCTGACCTCTTCTCTTTTGCCCACCCATATACTCCAGGCATGTTCTCTGTCAGTGATACCACAGAGAACTCAGAAAAATAAGTATGTAGCCGTTACCGAGTTTTCTTTATAACTGAGCCCACTGGCCATGTAGGCAAGCGAGGCATATTTTGTGAATGTGTTAATATTATTGCAGATAATGGCTTGAGACTAATGCAGATTGCATTTTTGTTTATTGTTTGTTTGTTTGTTTGTTTGTTTGTTTTTACCATTAGGGAACATCTGGGTAGGGAGGATAGGACTCCATCTGTACTTTCTTGCCAATATGTATGTACATATCCATTCTCTGTAGGGTGTGTGACAACCCTATCTTAAGACCTTTGTTTCAATGTGACAAGTCTATCTTCAAATTTAATATATTCAATTTGCTTAAATACAGAAAGTATTTAAAAGAAATGCTTTTTAATGAAGTTTAAAAAATACCCTGCATATCTATAGAGGTTTTATTTTTATTTTTATTATTAATTTATGGTTTGTACACCTCTGCCTTGCCTGACAATTCTTGTCAGCTCAATTGCAAACGGGCTGGGCTGGTCGCAGTCGGGTCAATACCCCATAAAGCCTGGCTAGTGTGAGAACTTCCCTATTTTGTCCTCGCCTCTTCGGTTGGCACGCTCAGTAGACTGAGTACCTACTTGGGACTAGGCAAGAGGGGAAAGAAAGAGGAAAGGTGAAGAGATATGGATCCAGTCCTCATTTTAGGGGTGTCAAACTCCACAAACTAGGAACAAGGCAGAAATGGAGAGTTTGGAGGGGCCCGCCCAGGAACGGTACCCCAAAGAGGTTGAACTGAATCCAGGGGCTGGATTATGTGCCGAGGGGGAGCAGGTGTCAGGGCCAGAGGCAAAGCAGAAGCTGAGTGTTAGGGGAACTGCAGGCGTTTCCCACGTGGTTAGGACAGAGAGGCAAGAAGTGAGGTTGGAAGAGGTAGGAAAGACTTGGGGGTCCCTCTGACCTCCCCAAGTTTGGGCTTTACCCTACAGACACTAGTACCCACTGAGCTTAGGGAATGTATAAATTGCAATGCATATACTCTAAACATTGTGGGTATTTATTTAGCTTGGCAGCGGATCTAAGTATATTTCCACTGGGATCCGTGGACTATGCATGCTGTTCTCTTTTGATGTAATGTCGTAGCCAAAGTTAATCCTGAAATCCTGAGATGAGGCACTGCTGTCAGAGTATAGTGCTTTCAAAATGCAAACTAGCTGATGAGGTCTTACTTAAAATTGCAGTGACTAGTACATGTAGAAAATGACAATGAACACTTTTGCACACTTCCCTCAAGCAAACCTGCTTGTAATGGGAGTCCAGTAGTTAAAATGATTTTTTTTTCCCCACGTGAATTTTGCGGAAAATTGCACGGAGGGCTTGATTTTGAAAGTTTCTAGAAAACTTGTCCCCTTTTGTCCGTTAACTGCTCTGCAGCCTTGGTGAGGCAATGTACAGTTTCCTCTGGGGCTACCAAGGCAGCGAGGATAAAAATAGGGCAAACTGTAAGAATCCCAGATATTTTCGGATAACAAAGACTGATTTATGTGGACCCATTCTGTGCTCCGACAAAACACAGAGAAGCTTTTGTGCTGTGATTAGCAAGGGTGCTGATGTCAGTTCTCTCATCGAGCGTCCAGCTTTATTCCGCGGCTAAATTGTGCTTTGTACCGTAATCCAGAGAACCTTTGTATCTGCCTTATTAAAGTGTGTAGTTTCTGTAATTGCTTTTGTTTTCCAGTTTAATCTGTGCCAGATTCAATGAGAGTGACTCATTTTGTGACTGAGACAAACATTCCCATTTGGGCCATGTTAAAAATAAATAAATAAGTGGCAGGTGCTGCTCGGCTAAATTCTGTGTTTTAATGCTGCAATTTCCTGCTGTAAAGAGTTCCTCTCTTATAGAATGTCTCCTCGGGCCTCTGTAATCACCCAATCTGTCTGGTGCACCTCGATTCATTGCTTCTCATTTCTTGGCAGTTTGTTTTCGTTTCCAGGGGCCTTGTGTATTTTAACAATATCATTTCAACAGAGAAGCAGTGAAATGAATGGGAAGCGACAGTTAACCGGAAGACAAAAGAGTGACACATAAGCCATAGCAAAAAAGACACATTTCCTTCTTTTCTCTTTTTGTCATTTTCCCAAGGTTCGATTCCCAGGTTTGATTCCTGGTTGGGGCACATGTCTGCATAGTGGGTTCCATCCCCAGTCAGGGTGCATGCAGAAGGCAACTGATCAATGTTTCGCTCTCATCTCTCTCTCTCCCTCTCTCCCTCTCTCTCTCTCTCTCCCTCCCTCTCCCTCCCTCCCTCCCTCCCTCCCTCTCTCCCTCCCTTCCTCCCTCCCTCCCTCCCTCTCTCATCAATTTAAAAATATTTCCTCAGGTGAGGATTTGAAAACAAATACAGCTCTTATCCATGTAGTCTGAACAGCAGTCTAGCCAAAAGGAAGACACAGTCCATTTATTTGCTTACTTTCCAGGTGAAAAAGCAGGAAAATTTTACACCCATTTTTGTCCTCCCTACTTCTTACCTGAGCCCTCTTCCCGTCCCACACACACACAAATACACACAGAGACAGAGAGACCTATAGCTTGAAATATGAAGTGTTTTGAAGAAGTATCTTTATGTATACTTTTTATGGCATGATATTAATATATAAAAAATTGCTGTTTTTAAAAAAATTGTGAGATATACATAACAAAATTTATTATTTTAACCATTTTCAAGTGCATTAAGTACATTCACATTGATGTGCAGCCATCACTACAATCCATCTTCAGAACTTCATCAACATCCCAAACTGAAATCTAACCATTATGCACTAACTCCTCCTCCTCTCCCTACAACCCCTGGCTTTCTGTCTTACGAATTTGGTTACTGTAGGTACCTCATATAAGTGGAATTGTATAATTTTTATTCTTTTGTGACTGGTTTATTTCACTTACCATAATATCTCAAGGTTCATCCATGTTATATAGCATGTGCCACAATTTTCTGCCCTTTTAAGGCTGAAAAATACTCATATATATATATATATATATATATATATATATATATATATATATATATATCACATTATATTTATTTCATCATTCATCAGTAGACTCTTACTTGGGTTGCTTCCAATGTTTGACTGTTGTGAATAATACTGCTATGAATATAGGTGTACATATGGATGAGGACAATGGGGGAGAGGAAGGGAGCTGAAGGTGGGGTGGGAACCTGGTGGAAGGGGGAAGAAATGAGGAACCTTTGTAATAATATGAACAATAAAGATTGATTTTAAAAAAAAGAATATAGGTGTACAAATACCTGTTTCAAACTTTCATTGCAATGAATTTGGTTATATACCTACAACTGGAATTTTTTGAGGACCTGCCATACTGTTGTTGTTTTTTTATAACAGTTAAGCTGTTTTATTTTTTTACCAGAAATATAAAACATTTCCACTTTTTCAATAGTAGTTATTCTAATCTGTATGAAATGGTATTTTCTTTATGGTTTTGATTTGCATTTCTGTAATGATAGTGACATTGAACATCTTTCTTGTATTGGCGAATTGTGTGTCTTCTTTGGAGAGTCTATTTAAACACTGTCCATTTTTTAATTGGGTTTTTTATTTTTTATTGTTATTGAGTTATAGGTGTTCTTTGTGTATTCCGGACATTAATCTCTTCTCAGATATATGGTTTGCAATATGTTCTCTGGTTCTTTGAATTGCCTTTTTACTCTGCTGATCATATCCTTCAATATATAAAACTTACAAATTTTGAAGTAGTTCAGTTTACGCTTATTTTTTCTTTTGTTTCCTGTGCTCATAGTGCCATATCCAAGAAATTATTGCCAAATCCTACGTCATGAAGTTTTTGTCATGTTTTGTAGTTTTAGCTCTTACATTTAATTGTTTGATCCATTTTGAGGTCATTTTTATATGATGTAAGACAAGACTCTAAGTCCAATATTTTGCATGTGGCTATCCAGTTTTTCTAGCATCATTTGTTGAAGCCTCTGCTTTTTTAGTTAGTAATACCTAAATCTTCCTTGTTTTGTTGACTTGATATTACATATTGGTGTGATATCTTTTAATATCAATCAATATCTTCTCATATTCTATTAGAAACCCTAATAGAAAAATAATAAACATGTATAGATACACATTATTGAGTTAATTTGGGCATCAGTAAACTCTACTGGAGTGGCAGGTAAGTCTACAGAAACAAGGACAACATTGTACGTGACTTTCTCTAGACAAAGCCTTTGTGAAATTGATTTGATAAATGCACCTCTTCTTGAAAACATTCTCAGGTTAACATGAGATGGATATTTTTGTTTTGTTTCTAGGCGTGGAAGAGGAGATGGTTTGTGTTACGCAGTGGCCGTTTGACTGGAGATCCCGACGTGTTGGAATATTACAAAAATGATCATGCCAAGAAGCCTATCCGCATTATTGATTTAAATTTATGTCAGCAAGTTGATGCTGGATTGACATTTAACAAAAAAGAGTTTGAAAACAGCTACATTTTTGATATCAACACCATTGACCGGATTTTCTACCTGGTAGCAGACAGCGAGGAAGAGATGAATAAGTGGGTTCGCTGTATTTGCGACATCTGTGGGTTTAATCCTACAGAAGAAGGTAAGTTCAAGATTCTCTTACTCAACCTCTTTCCTTCACAGTTACATTTTTTGAATGGGTATAAAATTCTTTTTTATTTCAGTTACATGATGTAATATTTGGGATTTTTTTTATATTAGTAATAACATATGGAAAAAGCAACTAAACCCTTTAATCAGTTTGGGCAGCAACTTTTTGTACGTTTGAGAAAGAGAAATTTAACCATTGTGGGGCAGCGTCTAAATAATTGTCTTGTAGAAGAAGATGACAAGAAGACATACTATTTCAGAGCCTTTCTTGAGTTCCTATAAGAATATTACCTTGGCCAAAACCGGTTTGGCTCAGTGGATAGAGCGTCGGCCTGCGGACTGAAAGGTCCCAGGTTCAATTCTGGTCAAGGGCATGTGCCTTGGTTGCGGGCACAACCCCAGTAGGGAGTGTGCAAGAGGCAGCTGATTGATGATTCTCTCTCATCGATGTTTCTAACTCTCTATCCCTCTCTCTTCCTCTCTGTGAAAAATCAATGAAATATATATTTTTAAAAAAAGAATATTACTTTGAACTTATAACATTGCTGATATTTGACTATTTTTGACCAATTAAAAGCAGCATTTTCATGTGGCTCAATGTAATTCTTCAGTTATTTTTTAAATTATGTTGCTACAGCAGGTGTCAACAACTATGAAAAGCAAATGAGAATTAATCACAAAACATGAGTTCCCTTACCCCAGAGGTAAGAGGGGACCTAAGGTTTGGATGAAGGTAGTGAAGAAAGCTCAGAGGAAAACACGGGACTTTTGGAGGAAGTAGAATTTCTACATAAGGGAAGGGAGGGGTGCTAGAAAGAGGAGGAATGGAATTCTCTTTGACTCCAAAAAGGCCAGGGGAGAGTTGTTTGAGGATCCGAGGTTTGGGGTGCTTGTCCTCAGAAGAGGCCTCAGGAAGAGTTTGACAAGTGGAACTCCTCTCCAGATGCGTGTCTATGGCTGTCCTGACCACGTATCCCCTGTCCACTTCTCTTCCTTGTTAAACAAACACGAAGAACCTATGTGGGGTTTGCCAAGCCAAGAATCAGGAATAATGTCTTTGACCCTATCGTCTTCACGCTTATCCTCAAGTTCATAAGTGTGCCTTTCCAAATATCTATCTTTAGGAGTGCTGGAGATTTCAGTGAGGGGTGGAAAAATTGTATTCACAATCAACATGGAGTTTGGGATTGAAACGGAACAGTAATCATCTCTAATTAGCTTAGGTCAGCATGCTGCTTCCTCTCTGGCCCAGTCAGCAGGCCAAGAGAAGGGCCGTCCAGGGCTGGGCTGGGCCCAGCAGGGCTGGGGAAACCCCTTGGTAAGGATTCCAGAATGCCCAGGGGAGCAGCGCAGAGAGAGGGAAGGAGGCATCCAGTGTAGCCAGGAGGCGGCTGATGAGCGAGAGCTCCTCACTGGAGCTCTGGTGATTAAAAGCCTCGAGATAGTGCTTCATGCGGGGCATGAAGGCTACAGCTGTTTTTGTGAAGTGACTCGATGTGTGCACATTTTAAGTAGGCCAGGGGTATCGTTTCTAACTCTGGTTCAACGCCTTTCCTGTCTTGTTTGCATGTACAGTCTATATGTGAGTGTAGTGGAGGATTTTAAAGTTAAAGGCACAGATGAGATAGCTTTTTACTTAACGGCTACTTAACAACCACTCTGTAATGATAATTATTGGATTTGGATACCGCATTAGTTTTGTTATGTGATGGATTTTTAGTTAAAATAATTTTAAGTCATTGCATAATCTTTTTGCTGATGTTTTTGTTTTGTTTTTTTGTTTTTTTGCCTGCTGCCTTCCAATTTAGAATTTATTTGGAGGTCATAAAGGCAGACTTTTATCCGCATTGGTTATCTTTTTTTTTTTTTTTTAATAGATTCGACTGATCTGAAAGACTGAGTAGATGTTCTTCCAGATCTCTTTGTTTTCTTTATAATTCTCCTAAATACATTTAACAAAAGAAATGAGATGTCCCTCTTAGAGGAGCTACATTTTTCAGTTAAGGACTATGAGAGTCTAACTTTTGGAAGCCCATTTAGAGTAAGTAGAATTGAGAACTCCCAAATAAGAATTTCTAATGCTCACCGTGGCTGGTGTGGCTCAGTGGGTTGAGTACCATCCTGTGCACCTAAAGTTTGTTGGTTCAATTCCCGGTCAGGGCACGGCAATCTATGTGACTCAGAGGGAATCAGTAAAAGAGAAACAGTTCTTCATTGTGTAGTATCAGGGAGCCACAAAAATATTTCACGCTATATGGTTTTAAAATCAACCACTGAGTTCCCTTATTCATTTGGAGTAGCTGACTTTGCTAGGTTCTGTTTTAAAAACATCTACACACTTAAAGATTTGTATCAAAATAAACCTCCAAGTGCTGCTATTATCCTTTGTGATCACATTCATGCAGTTTAATGTGACAAGGTGAATATCAATGCCATTACTTCTTGCTTTATATTCTCTTGCTTTCAAATAGATTTCCCCAACCCCCTCCAATCACTAAGTAGTATTTTTGTTTTTAACCTAGATCTGCCCCCCTGAGAGCTGAAGATGCCCCCACTCATGGCTTAAAACTGATAACCCAAACATGATATTTCATTTTACTAGTTTCAGGCTAGACGTGGGAAGAAATAGACTCTGCTTAGATATTATAGTCTGAGAAAATAACTGTCTCCAGTCCCTAGGAGAATAACTAATTTTCTCCCGAAAACAAAAGGAAAGGGGAAAACTCTGACCTGTGTTTTGATTCCAGGAACCTCTCAAAATATCGTTCCCATGTTATTTCCGCTGCCCCAGGTGACCACTGCTATTATTGAATACTCAGAATGCTGGCGTGCTGGGTCTGTTTTTGAATTCTAAGCTGGTTGAACTGTGTGTGGTTCCTATGAGTGCTTTTATTTAGTAGATTTGAGGATAGAAACTAATTTATTTTGTTTTTCTTGGAAATGGGCAGATTTATTTTTGTTTCTACACCGACTTGGAAGCTGGCAGATGTGCTGAGCAAGTGCCGGGAAACACAGCCTCAGGGTTGCACGCAGCAAACTAACTTGGCGCAAAGGCTCCTGCTCCAATTTCGGCATGCATCATAAGAAAGTTGCCTCTTATCAGTTGAGATACTTTGCTCAAAATGCCCCAATAATAGTGGCTTAAAAAAAAAGTGTGATTCTCTGTTTGATTTTCTTCTTTTTGGGAAAGTAGGTTAGTGATTGTCTAACTACTGTGTTGTATACCTGAAACTAATACCAAAATTATGTTTAAAATAATAATATTAATAAAATATGTAAAAAATAATAAATAATAATTGCTAATAAAATAATAATCTAATAGTAGGTTAAACTAACATATAAGAATATACATATGCTTCCTCTCCTGATTCTTATTAGGGAACTTTCAAATTTCTTTTTATTCACTTTGTATTTGTGTATCACTTACTACTATGAAAAGCAAAAGAACTTAAGTGTACAGTTAATATAGTTTTATATATTCATCTATATCTATATATAGAAATCTGTGTTGTTGGCACACTCAGATCAAGAAATGGAAATTTCCAGACTCCAAAAGGTTTTTTCATGCTTCTTCCCAGTCACTCCCCCAACCCCAGAATAAAAGCCCAAATAACCATTATTTTGCATTTATAACCATAGATTAGTTTTGCCTATAGTTGAAATTCATATAAATAAAACCTTTGAGTCTGGCTTGTTTTTCCTAATCTTAAGTCTGTGGGATGCATCCCTGTGGCAGGTAGCAGTTCTTCATCCTATGTACACACTCTGTGACTGTACAACAAACTTTTAACCAATTTGAAAGTTGATGGTCATTTGGGTCCTTTATAATTTTTAGTTAATATAAGTAAAGCTGTTGTGAACATTCTTACACATGTCTTTTGATGGACATGACACTTAGTCTTTGGGATACATACCCATGAGTGGAATTGCTACATTATAGGATATATATATATTTAGTGTTAGAAGATTTAGTAGCTTTTGTTTTCCAAATTATTGTATTAATTGCTTTTCTACCAGCAGTGTAGGAGACTTTTAGTTAGTCTGCATTTTAACCAACACTTGGTATTGTCAGTAATTAATTTTAGCCATTCTAGGAAATGTGTAGTGGTATCTCACAGTGGTTTTAATTTGCATTTTTCTGGGGACCAAGTCAACAGAGTTGATTTTGTTTTATTATACATTTTCAAACTACTGCCCCTGAAATCTTGATTCATTGAGTCTCCTGAGATGGAGCCCAGGCATCTACATTTCTAAAACACCCCACAAGTGATTCTGATGTCATGACACCTCTAGGATAAGAATTAGGTATTTATCACCACTTCCTAAAGGTTTATTTTCACCATCTCCAAGGAAGTTTTCACAATCTGTGAAGGAGATGGTCATGACAAATAGGATTAAAAATTTTTCTACTTCAAGTACATGAAATAGATTGGACTTTGATTAGAGGTCTCCAATATTTGACTAAATAAACTGAAGAAACCGTAAGGTTGCTTCACTGAAAATTGCAACTAATTGTTGTTTCTTGTTTGTATCCATTTTTTGAGATTTACATTTATAAAATGTTCTTTCATTTAAAAAAATGGTCTGTTCAGAAGTAAGCAGATTATTTTAGCATTAATGATAATGCATACCCTTTGTGGGCTTTTATTTGCTAAGTTATTTAGACATAGATCTATTCAAAGTGCTTCTCTTTACAGGAAAAAATATTTATTCAACAGACCACATAAGTCAGTAATCAATAGAAACCGAGTAACCTTGACCTATTTCCCTTTAATTGTGAGCATCAAGATAACACTTTTGCAATAGAAACCCAGAGCATATTCTATTAGCAAATGTCACCCATCTTCAGAGAAAAGGATCTCCTCTGGTCCAACAAGGACATGAGCAGCACCACAGTTTTATTACCGCATGCTCAGGTAGAGCATGTTTGTGTCACAAAATCTGCAGACCCATGACATCAACTTTTAAATATTCTCCTTACCAATAAGAACGGGTAGAATTGCTTCCCTGGGTCTCAGCTCTTGAGCCATTTGATTAGAAAAACATTTATTCTTTTGAATATTTAGAGGCATTATCAGGGCAACCCAACTTCTGTGATGGCATTAGGGTTTCAAATAGGATAAAACTGTGCATTAAGCTAGGGACAGTGGCAGGCCAGTTTATTATTTGCGGTTCTCCTCACACGAGTCTGCTTCTCTCCACAGAAAGCTGGTTAAGACTTTCCCTACAGTGTTCATTCGTTTTCTAAGTAAAATTCCATTAGGAATTTGTTCCAACAGCTTATTAGCCCTTTCATTGATACTAATTATACTCCATGCCTTCTGAATTAAGAAATAACTCAGGAAATAATTTTACTCACATAAGCAAACCCTAAACTGATATTTGATTCTCGGAAACTTGATCCCAGCATTACTTGGGAAGGGTGGTAAGTTAGAAACCTAGGAGAGCCAAAAAGCAGCAGACGTGGTCCATTCAACTACTTGTAGAGCTGAATGGGGGCAAATGACATGTTTTTATAAGACAAAAGTTTCTTTTTCAGGTCAGTTGATTTAACTTTGGTCAGTAATTTAATTTAGAGAATTTTATTTAGAGAATATTAAGACAATGCAGTGCTTACAGTTAAATATGAAGAGCTGAGTATGATGGCCAGATTAACATGAGAAAAATAATCCTGAAGACTTAACTTTGAAAACAGTACATTTTCTGGGCCAAAGTGGTAGGGCAGTGTCCCTTCCCTTTTCAGGAACGGTGCACATCATGTTGTTTGGGATGGTGGGGCTTGCTTTTTATGGCTATTTTGAGGTCTTTTCTTTCGTGAGCTTGCTAATGAACATAATGGAAGTTTCTTCCTAGTTCCTGGCCCTTAGTTAAGTGCTTAATAAATTATTTCTTTATTTGCCGACACCTTTTGCGTGGAAATCCTACGTAAATTCAATAAATGGCAAATGAGATGATAAGCTGAGGGAAGCGGTGGTGCCTTCAAGAAAAGCTCTTTCCCTGAACGTGAATCCCCAGTTAGAACTAGTTCTCCCTGGTTGACTAAGAAGTAGAACGGATGAACAGCAGAGTAAAGATGAGGTCAAGAGCTGACCCTGATACCCGCAGCACCATGGACCTGCAGGTGCCATGGAATAACATGGGCCACCGTGGAAGGTTGAGTTGGCTTGGGAAGCACTGTGTCATCATGGGGGGAAAAAAATCTGCCTTTTGTGCTAAAGATGGTAGGATATGGTAGATCATCTTCCTTTCCAGGAGCCTCAAAACTAAAGACTGTTCAAGGCAAGATTAATCATGGCTCCTTTACAGCTTCTGGAAGAAAGATCTCTACTCTTCAGATCTCTTGAATATGAAATGATTATCTTCTGAATAAACGGTGTCATTTAGGTCATATTTGTTTTAACTGACAGGATCATGGTTTAGCCTAGTTCCATGTATTTAAACAACTTACCTCCAAACTTTCAAGTGGCTTTGCTTAAGGAAAAAAACAAAAACAAAAAACGCTTAACATGGGATAGAGAATGACAGCCCCACTTTGGTGTTGCAGATCCTGTGAAGCCCCCTGGCAGCTCCTTGCAAGTGGATTTACCGTCAGCTGTCATTACAACACCACCATCCGCCCAGGTGGACTCGTCCTCTGCTGCCCACCCTCCTCCATATCAGCTCCTTAACCTGCCGCCACATCTGGAGACTCTTGGCATCCAGGAGGATCCTCAAGACTACCTCTTGCTAGTCAACTGTCAAAGCAAGATACCTGAACCCACCAGGTAAACCACGTATGCCTGCGTGTGTATGTGTGTGTGTGTGTGTGTGTGTGTGTGTGTGTGTGCGCGCGTGCACACGCACGTGCTCTCATTTAGTAATCTTACCTATAAACTTTTAAGGTTTAAAAGAAACCATCCATATAGGCTTCTATTTTATGCATATATTTCAAGTTTATATTTCTCCACTAATGATCTCTGTTCTTCATGAGGTTTTGTTGAAGAAACACATTCTCTAGCATCTTTGGCAAGGAACACTTTTGCCGGAAGCTCTTTTGGAAACCTGTCTTCCGTTTCATAGTCTTTGTTACAGACTCACAGTATTACTTGCTTAACAGATTTCACTGGTTTATAAATAGTGATCTTGCTCCATTTCTTATGTGATTGTAAACCAGCCAAGGGTCATCTTTTGTTTCTGAAGAAGGAGAGGAATACCTACTACTAGAAGATTTTGAAAGCAAAACGATTCCATTGCAGTGAGTGTGTTGTGGTTGCTTTGGATCTGTGTGAGAAATCATACAGGTAAAATCCCAATATAGCAAAACATATGGGAAATACAAATTGAGCTTCCGTGAAATTGGATGAAATCAAATATATTGCTAAAAGCTATGAAAGGTAGATTTTCCTACCTTGCAATGAAATGGAGCTTACTCAAGCCTTCACTTTACAAATTTTAAGTAGAAAGAGGTATGTGTGTTTCGGTGCTGGACCATAGGTATCATAAAGACTTTCCCAAATCCTGCTTTACCCGTCATTTCCATGCCTGCTCCACGACCCCTCTCTTTTAAGCTGTAAGATAGTTGAATTTGATATTGAGTAATTGGAAGGCTTGAAGTCATGGTAAGTATTGGAGCTAAAAAATAATGATCAGGAGGCCTGTCAATGCCACTAACAGCTGTGACAACTAATAGATATTGATTATATCTATTATCTGAATTTGTAGTATAAATGTATACATGAATTGCATAGTTGATGTGAAATATTTTTAAACAGGGTTATTGGATACTAAGTATTAATGTTCTATAACAAAAATATTTTTTGCATGTAAAAAGTGACTGTTACTGGGATGGAAATACACAAAGCACTGGTTCAAAAAAATTTTATATAGAATTTTTAAGATCCACAAATTCATTTCTGTGACCTATTCCCTAAAATAATGGAATCAAACACTCCAAAATGCATTTCTATATATTTGTTGTAATGGGATTTTACCTGTAAGAGAAAATAAAATAATTTATAAATCAACACTACTTAATATTACCAAATTCTAACTTGATTTTTGCTTGTTTGCCGTGAGTATTTAAAATTACACACTCGCAACTTTGTTACCTATGCTACTAACTAAGATTCTATTTTACGGAGAGTCACAATTATTTTTCAGTATCAACTTTTTAAAATCCAACAGCTAAGTGCCAGTTTTCAGTACATTATCTTTTTATATAAAAATCTTTCATTGAACTCACTGTTAACACAGCTTTCCTGTTGTGGTCAAAATTATGCTCAAATTTATTTTGCATCTATTTTTTATTTTATTTTTTTGCAAAAATGGCAGTTAACAAATATTTATGATGTGCCCACTATTTTGTTAGATGCTCTGAAGGTACAAACTAATTACATAGGTTACAGCCCCCTCAGATACAGTCACCTTCACAGTTTACAAGTAAACTTTGTGAAGAAGTCAAAACATGTAAACATTTTAAACATTTATAGATGGAGGCAAGATAGGAGAATTGCTTTGTAAACCCTTGTTCAGGCTATAAGTCTCAACTCAGACGCATGTAGGAAACATTTCTCCAAACTCCCAGGCTGGATTAAATGCCTCTGTGGGTCTTTATAGCAGCCTGGCTATACCTTCATATCTCTGTTTTATCATAGATTTGGAAACGGATTGATGTTTTTATTCACTCTCCACTAAACTATAAGCTAGCCAGAGGCAGGAAGTTTATTGCTCCTTGTGCTTCTGGCATCTTATAGCTCACGTGTTTGAATTCACTGACAGTGCACATTTTTAGAATATGTGTTAATATGTTGGAAATTACTACCCAGGGAGGAGTAGAATTTGAACTACATCTGGTAGGTAAGAGAAAGGGAGGCTATCATTAGTAATTTGCATAAAAATGCTTGAGGGATAGGAGAGGTGAAAATGAGAGTGCTGAGTTGAAGATCAGGAGGAGGAAAGCCTGCTTGGAGGAAAGGCTTTGGCTTGCGGGACAGTAGGACATAAAATAGGACATAAAAGGCGAAGCCAGGTAAGCCTCAATGCTAAGGGGCGTAGTTTGCTGGCTTTTTGTAGTTCCCACACCCATAGAGGTCTTAAACAGGATTTTCTCTGGGTGTATAAGTGATCTGAAAACCATGTTTGAAAAAAACAAAATTTTTAATCCTCACCTGAGGTTATTTTTCCATTGACTTTTAGAGAGAGTGGAAGAAGGAGGAAAAGACAGAGAGAAATATTGTGATGTGAGAGGAACACTTTGATTGGTTGCTTCCTGCACGCGCTCTAACTGGTCCGGGGAGGAGTCTGCAATCAGAGGTGCATGCCCTTGACTGGAATTGAGCATGACAGTATGATCCCATGCACAGATTGGCAGAAAAGGGAATCCAGGGTACAGAAGTTTACTTAGGAGGGTTCAGTAGTATAGAACTTAACAGAGACCTGAACTTGGGTTGGTGACAGTGGGACTAGAGCAAGGGATGGACACTTGGATAGGAAGAGAGACTTCGTGCCTGAGTGACGGTGGAAATCAAAGAGAATGAACGTAAGCTGATTGGGTTTTGAGCCTAGAGAACCTGAATGAGGACATTTCTTTTAAGGGTAAATCGGAAAGGGCTGTCAAGGTTGGGTTTTGTCTGATACACATAAGCTACTGGGATAACCGAGTAGAAATAGGAACAGATGGAAAATATGGGACTCATAGATGGGATTCGTCAGCATTCTCTGGAAGGTGACCATATGAGACAGGAGAACTTCTTTAACGGCGTGTGTGCTCATGGATGAGAAGATTGAATTCTGTTGGCCATTACTAGGCAGAGAAACAGAAAGAAGGAACCTGTCAATGAACAAGGGGGTGATCCGTGAGGGACGAGGAAAATTAGGATATCACAATATGGGTTCTTTATAACATCAGGAATGCCAAAACATAAATGGAGTACACGGAGCCAGGAGTTACTAAAATATCAGGGAAGCTAAGCCCTTAAAAAATCTCTCACAAGTTCATTTTTAAAACTAGTACGTTCAAGTTCCTACAGGACTTTGGCCAGCATGCATGGGTAGCTAAGGATCCTGTTTAACATTACAGAGTGTGCTGGTGTCCAGATTGTACCTTCATTTTGCCTTACACCCAAATTTTGTGATACGACAGAATGCAGAGGCTGAAAATGGACCCAAAGCATAAAATATACTTTAGTGAGATTCCTCAAGGTTACAGTAATTGGTTTGGAATTGGCTCTCTCTGTAACGTGTGTTTTGATCCTCTTTACAGTATCAGCTAAATGCTTGTTAAAGAAAATTAGTAGAAAGGAGGATATTTCAAGTTGCCCTCCTCCTTGTAGATCACACTGAATCTCTTCAGTACTTGGAACCTTAGACTGTCAGTGGCATAGAACAACAGATTTGCCACTGGTAGGCAACAGAGCAATGGGACCATCTTGATAAATTGTGTTGGCACCACGTTTTTTGCATGCTCTTCCGAGGAAATGCTTTTCCTTGTGTCTGTGCCTTAATCATTTTACCTTTCTAATTCCGGTACGTCAGTGATTGTGGTTTTATGTGTGGATTTCATAGGTGGAGTTGGGGGTGTGGGCAGGTCCAGGCCAGAAATTAGGAAGAATGCTTTTGGTGGTTTTGTGTTGGCGGTGGTGTGGTTGTCTGGTGTGCAATCAAAAAAAAAAAGCAGCATTCGTGCTTTCCCTCTCATGGATCACACACACACAAAACAAAAGTCTAATGAAAAAAAAGCCTTGGATTTTGATTGCTAAGCTATCACTATATGTATTGAAAAGCGGTCGCGCGACCTCACCGTGTTTTATTTTCTGCCGTGAACAATTTTTATTCAGAACACACGCTGATTCTGCAAAATCCACCTCCTCTGAGACGGACTGCAACGACAACGTCCCCGCCCACAAAGCCCCGGCGCCGAGCAAACCCGGGCTGAACGGCTTCTTCCCGCAGCACCTGGTGTACGACTCGCCGCCGCCCCGCGCCGCGCCCGCGCCCGCGGACGCCGGGCTCTACAGCCTGCCCCGCAGCTTCTCCCACGACCTGCTGCCGCGGGCGGCCCCGGCCGGCGCCGACGCGGACGGCGAGCTCTACGTGTTCAACACGCCGCTGGGCACCGCGCACGTGCCCGTCAGCTACGACATTCCCCCGACGCCCGGCAACGCCTACCAGATCCCACGGACGTTTCCGGATGGACCCCTGGGACAGACGTCAAAGCTGGACCCCATTCCAGACGTGCCCCCGCCCCGGCCGCCCAAGCCGCACGCGGCCCACGACCGGTCTCCCGTGGAAGCGGGCAGCCTCGCCCGCGCCGCCTCCGACACCGACACCAGCTACTGCGTCCCCGTCCCCGCCGCTGCGGGCATGCCGGCCTCCCGCAGCAACACCATCTCCACCGTGGATCTGAACAAGCTGCGCAAAGGTCAGCGCCCCTTGGCTCCCACTCTGTTCGAGGTTCATTTGCTCCCACTCTGTTCGAGGTTCATGGTAGAAGATGTGTTGTTCTGAATATGTGTTCTTTTTTTTATTTTATTTTTTATTTTTTTAAATATATTTATTTTACAGAGAGGAAGAGAGAGGGATAGAGAGTTAGAAACATCAATGAGAGAGAATTATCGACCAGCTGCCTCTTGCACACCCTCTACTGGGGATGTGCCCGCAAACAAGGTACATGCATTGGACCGGAATCGAACCTGGGACCTTTCAGTCCCCAAGCCGACGCTCTATCCACTGAGCCAAACCTGTCTCGGCTATTTGTTCTTTAAAAAAAAAAAATAATAATAATAATACATTCTTAACTGATTTCAGAGAGGAAGGGAGGAGGGGGAGAGAGAGAGAGAGAAACACACTGGGGATCGAGTTCACAACCCGGGCATGTGTCCTGACTGGGAATTGAACTGGTGACCTCCTGGTTCATAAGTCTATACTCAACCACTGAGCCATGCCTGCTGGGCTGAATATTTGTTCTGTTAAGCATAGTAGGATACTAAATGATAGTCCTTTGTTTCTTCAGTCTTGCAGTTACCTACTCATGTAGCAAAGATACCAGGGTCTCAGTAGATTCCCGGGAGACTGTGTGGGTATGTGACTGTGTGTGTGTGTGTGTGTGTGTGTGTGTGTGTGTGTGAGAGAGAGAGAGAGAGAGAGAGAGAGAGAGAGAGAGAGAGAGAGAGAGAGACAGACAGAGAGAGAGAGAGAGAGAGAGAGGAGGAGAGAGAGATAGAGGGAGAGAGAGATAGGTGTGCCTTTGTGCATGTTCTGCCAGAAGGGACAAAGAGTTGGAATTTTTCATCCCTGAAGAAGTATAGCCTTAGGAATTCTTTCCTGCCTCAGGAAGTCTGCACCCTCACTCCCTCTTTCTATATATCTTGGGGGGAGGGAGGGTAGACCCTGATGGGACAGAGGAACAGGAAATGGGCCAGCCACACAGCTTCCGAGACTCATACCCTTTCCTGTATGTGTGCCCTTAGGGCCACTTCTATGTGTCACATCTGTGGGGCTCTGTTTCCTTCCTCTGTAGATAAGCAATGTTTGCATTGTGTCTGGCAGGTAATCACCAGTCCCAATCAAGCCACTCTGATTTTTGTTTGCTGTTTTTTATTTGTAAAGCTCTGAGCCTTCTCTCTCCTTATTCCTCATCACTTCATTTATTCCTACTCTGTCTCCTCGAGCCTTCCAGAAGTTACAGAGCTTGAGAGGAGAAAAGTTGAGTCTGGGTTATACCCTGAGATTCTTAATATCCTAAAAATAGAAAGTCAAAGTGTAAAATTTCATACCCTAAAAATGATGTTATCCAGCTGTCTTAAAGAAGATAAAGATTTAATGCATCTAATTCCTTGAAGTGTTTGTGTAATCTGGGTGTAAGTTAGTGAGATATAATGGAGGCCCAAGGTGGTGCAGAAGGTAAGAACATAGAAGTATATTTTTCTCCATTTTTAGGTAACCCACCACCACCCCAGCTTAGACAGACGTCTACTAACTGTCATAATCAAACACTGTTACTGATTAGCATGTGACAAGTGCCTGCATTTTCTAGTGGCTTAACATGCCAATTCAAGATATTAATACTATTCTGTGAGCATCCTTTTTAAGGTCTGTGTGCATATGTACCTGCATGTGTGTATGTGTGTGTTTAAAGAGAGAGAGAGAGAAAATAGGTCATTCCTGATTACCCTGAGAACTGGCAAATGTGGGGGAAAATGTTTATAGTTTGTTCTTTATTTTAGATGCTAGTTCTCAAGACTGCTATGATATTCCACGAACATTTCCAAGTGATAGATCTAGTTCCCTTGAAGGCTTCCATAACCACTTTGTAAGTATAACTGACCTCGGCATGATCGAGTGTATATTTCATTGTAAAAAAATCTTGATGCTTATTTCCCTGAGACTAAATGAAATTATGAAATAGAAGCCTCTTCAGATCCGTATGAAATAGGTGTGACGTGCAATTATGTTTTCCTGTTTGACAGTAGTTTTTGTTTATTAAGAGAAAATGTGTGTGTGTTTTAGAAAACCAAAAATGTATTGACAGTGGGAAGTGTGTCAAGTGAGGAGCTGGATGAGAATTACGTGCCGATGAATCCCAACTCTCCGCCGAGACAGCATTCCAGCAGTTTTACGGAGCCCATTCAGGAGGCAAATTATGTGCCCATGACCCCAGGGACGTTTGATTTCTCCTCATTTGGGATGCAAGTTCCTCCTCCTGCTCATATGGGCTTCCGGTCCAGCCCCAAGACCCCTCCCAGAAGGCCCGTCCCTGTTGCAGACTGTGAACCACCCCCCGTGGATAGGAACCTCAAGCCGGACAGAAAAGGTAAGCAGAGCAGGGCACAGGAGAAGGGTCTAGCTCTGCCTTAACTGTCACTAAATCCAGAACAGGATTGAGACTAGAAATTCTGAAGTATTTTCTATTACCTTAGTTATTAACTTGTTTAAGGGATATTGCTATTATAGGTTAATAATTATTATATGTTGATGCCTACATGAGATTTTAAAATCTCCTGTCTCGACAGCAGAGGTTACAAACTAGAGTACTCACAAGGACTGGCAGGAAAGAGGAGGAGAGAATTAGGAAAAACTTGAGTGCCCCAATTGGAGTAACTAACTGCTCCTGGACCACAACCCTTTATTGACTTGAGAAAGTAATAAAAATACGTACATGCAAATCTTCTGATGTATCAGGAGAAGCCAGAAATTTCACCTTTTATGTGTACTGTCTTTTGACTTTTAAGTTCTAAGAACTAATTTGATTATTTTAAAAGAACAAAACTTTGCAGATCAAACCAGAATATATGGTATCAAATCAAACTTGAGAAACTAATGTGGCTGACAGCGATATTGCTTGTTTAATCTTTCCATTTTGTTGTATAACAACTTCTTAAAATTATTCTTCCTTGCTGGGGAATAAATAAATGCTTTAGTCTTTTCTTTCATACTGGCCTTCATAAGTAACATTAATTCTCAAGTAGCATGGTTTGTCAAGAACTCCATGGAAAAGAAACTTTGCAGCCAAATTGGTGATATATAATAAAGGTTTAAAATTTTAGGCTTGAGTGGTGAACACCCTCACCGCTAGCTGTGTTGCAGCATTGCTGTTAATGTGGCTTAATCTGGACCATCGAGTACATTATTATATCGGTTGTGACTAGTGGCATAACTTCTGGTGTATTCAGCACATTTGAAAAGTCTCATGTGCTATACATAGCTTTTACCTTTTTAAAAAATATATATATATTTTTAATTGATTTCAGAGAGGAAGAAGAGGGAGAAAGAGATAGAAACATCAATGATGACAGAGAATCATTGATTGGCTGCCTCCGGCACGCCCCCATTAGGGAACAAGCCTACAACCCTGGCATGTGCCCTTGACTGGAATCAAATCCAGGGCCCTCAATCCGCAGGCCAGTGCTCTATCCACTGAGCAAAACCGGCTAAGGCTATACGTAGCTTTATTTATTTATTTATTTTTTTAAATATATTTTATTGATTTTTCACAGAGAGGAAGGGAGAGTGATAGAGCTAGAAACGTCGAAGAGAGAGAAATGTCAATGAGAGAGAAATATAGACCAGCTGCCTCCTGCACACCCTCTACCGGGCGGAGGTGGGGGGGGGGGGGTCCGCAACCTATGCACATGCCCTTTACCGGAATCGAACCTGGGGACCTTCCAGTCCGCAGACAGACGCTCTATCCACTGAGCCAAACCGGTTTCGGCTATACGTAGCTTTTTAAGAGCATGTAATGTCTGTGTAAATTTCTCATTAGCCTGGGCTTAGCTCGTTAATATTAATCCTAATTAAGTATCAGTTGTGGGGAAGGGAGACAGACTCACTCAGAGTAACTTAAGAAAGTGAGTTTTGCCAAAACCGGTTTGGCTCAGTGGATAGAGCGTCAGCCTGTAGACTAAAGGGTCCCAGGTTCGATTCCAGTCAAGGGCATGTACCTTGGTTGCAGGCACACCCCCAGTTGGGGGGAAGGGGTGCAGGAGGCAGCTGAATGATGTTTCTCTCACATCAATGTATCTAACTCTCTATCTCGCTACCTTCCTCTCTGCAAAAAATCAATAAAATATATAAAACGAAAAGAAAAAGAGAGTTTTGTTTCCTTTTGCTGTGAGGAAACTCTTGTGCTGAAGTGAGAAAGTGATTAGGAGTCAAAGCACCCCTTGGGTACTGGCACTTCGTTCTGCTCTCTGCATGTCTGTCCTGTGGGAAGTCTTTGCATCTGCTGTGTTCTCTCTCACATTCCTTCCTTCTTTGTGTTCCTCTACTCTTACTCTACTCTGTATCCTCTGCTTGATTTGGTTTTCTGCTTTCCCAGAGCTCGGCCTACAGTGCCCCTCGGTGGCCAGGATGCTGTCTTGTGGTCCCTTTGTACAGGCCCTTGCAGCTTCAGCATCTGCTAGTTCCCTCTTCATCATTTACTCACTTCAGGTCACTCAGAGAGATTGGTCTCACTTGTCATTCACATCAAACCAGATGATGGATTGTAGGCCAGCCCTTAGTTTGGCTGCTGTTGGGTCCACCTTTGGTCCAACAGCTGGGAAGACAGACACATCTAACACCCCTGCCACCCAGACAGCCGCAGAAGCAGGCCATGATCCAGATGGTTACCTTAGAAAGGGTGTAAGCATCACTGGCTTTTTATTTAATAATTTTTCCTTCTGTTACTCTTTGTCCTCATTTGTCTTTAAGTTATTTAGACACTATTGGTCGTTTTCTTCTTTGCCTGCAATATGTGCAAGTATTTTTGGACATGCGTACATTTAGCATGGAGCTCAAGGTTGCCAAAGGATTAAAAATACAAGTGTCATGAACTCTTTGCAGTTATTAAATATTCATTTTAATGCTGTACTGGTTCTTTTATTTTTTTGTAATCAGTGCATAGTAGCAGCAGAGCTATACTTTTTAACGACAGTCATCACAGTTGTGTATCTTGAGGTCTCCCATCAATGTGGAGGTGGTATGGGTTGGGTGAGGTACGGGCTCCAACTCCCACCTGTTTTACTTCCTGCCTGTTCCTTCCTCCCCTTGGGCTGCGCTTAATTCTATGTGGTAAGCTTAATGCAGAATCAGAAAAGATCCTTATTTATATGTTAGAAAAGTTGTAAAATAATGCTTTTAGTTTCATCTAGATCTAACAGAGCTCATGTACTCCATATTATAATAGACAGCATATCATAATAATATGGCATGTATTAGTATACTATATACTCCAATATTTTATATATATAATATATATAACATATTTGTATATTTACACCTCCCTATGTGTATAGTGACAGTATATTCTAGAAATTGGCAGAGTAATTAACCTCCATAAAGTGACTTCTGGAGATTGTGTTCAGTCTTTTACAAAATTAGCTGAACTGTTAAGAGACAGTTCTGAGCTCATGGGCCAGAATATTTATTTGGTATATTTTCTTAGATGCAAAATGAACTTGAGAAAGCACCCAGAATAAATACCCACATAGTTTTTGGCAAAATCAAGGAGAATGGGTTTTGCAAAATATTAGTTACTAAAATCATAGTAATAAAGAAAAAGTTACCCTAGCCGGTTTGGCTCAGTGGATACAGCATTGGCCTGTGGACTGAAGGGTCCCGGGTTCGATTTGGCCAAGGGCATGTACCAGTACCTCAGTTGCAGGCTGGGTCCCTGGCCGTGATCAGGGCGCATTTGGAAGGCAACCAATCGATGTGTTTCTCTCTGTGTGTCTCTCCCCCTCCCTTCTATTCTCTCTAAAAATCATTGGAAAAATATCCTTGGGGGTGGATTAACAAAAATAATAAATAAATACGAAAATATTTTTGCTTTTCTTTAGTAGTATCCTACTTTTTCAGTAAATATGACACAAGAGAGGATGCATGAGAAGGTATTTAATATTGCAGGACAAACATTGTCAACCTACTTTAGAAAGTTTTAACTCTTCAAGAAAAACACATTTTAAACCTAAATTCAGATCTTGAAACAAAGTTTATTCTTCAGAACTTAAATTGTAAAACAAATGTCTTATTTGGTCATGAAATTCTTTTCATTATCATAGCATCGGACGAGTCTGTTGTAAATTTCTCATTCTGTTACATCAGATACATGACTCAATCTGTTATTCTAGTATCTCTTATTAACTCAACATCATAATAAACAAACCTAATTCTATCAAATATGGCTTGATTAGTTTCAGAGCCTGGTTCAACATCCAGTATAGCCAGTTTCTGGAGTATCTTTGGAAGGATCTACAATAAATGAGTGACATTCTAGCCTTATTTATACCCCCAATTATAGACGTCAGCTGCTGTAGTTACTAGTACAGATGAGTTTTTCAAATACTTCCGAGTAACTGAAGCTGCAGAAATACAGAGATATTCTAAACTCGTATGTTTAATGTATTTTCACGGATCCTTCGCCAATCCCCTAACCTGCGGTTAGCTATATTTTTACCCATGCCATTTCTGTCATGATAGTATTTTTTTTGAACCAAGTTTTGTGTATATTACTAGAGGAAAAGACATCATTCTATGTGTTGTATTAAATATTAGGAAAGCAAAGATGAGGCTTTGGAAATGCAGCACAAACTATGTTTTGTTTTCACTGAAACGTTTATATTTCCATAGCGAAGTTTGAGAAATTTCTGTAAGGTATCTCTGAAAGTCAGTCTTTACATAAATCTACCATATTTAATCACAGCACTTGTCTAGACCCCTCCCCCCATACATTCTCCTTCTAACATGATGGAGCAGCTGTTTGAGCCTCAAAGGCTCTCTTTTTATTTTGTTCTGTTTTGCTTTGTCCATTCATGGCTTTCTGCAGTGGTTCTGACCATTAGTTAGGGCACATGTGTCAAACACAAGGCCCGCGGGCCAAATCCGTCCCGCCAGCCCTTGCAATGTGGCCCGCACCCCGCTGTCATCACTGCACTCTGCTGCGTTTCCATCACAATGACAGTTTATGACTGTTCAGTAAACCATTCGGCCCGCGATTTAGGCTGGATTTTAGATTTTGGCCCCTTCTCTGATTGAGTTCGACACCCCTAAGTTAGAGTGTTGGTTTGGGAAAAGCGGTGCTTGGTTACTTCTGGTGTTTTTGTACATGAGTTTGGTTAAAGTGCGGCAGGTCTGGCTCGTCACTTTGGTGCAGGAAGCATCGTGAGGAACTTCTTTGGGTGGGTCCTTCTGGGCACGCTGACATATTTGTTCTAAACATTTTTATCAAGAAACCTTCTAAAGTAGTTTTCGAATGTAATTAAAAATTAACATGCTTTCTCAAAATGGCTTTTATGCTATAATAAATGGAAGATGGATGCATGACACTGGTAAAAAAAAATAACTTGATTTTAATAAGCATTAAAGTTTGACTTTTAGTTAGGTTTTTGTTTGCTGTTACAATGTAAAGGAAGTGAATATAAAGTGTATTTTTACGGCATAGCCTTTACATGTGGGGTTTTCCTCCACCCCCCTAAACATTCTGGGCCTTCCAATATAATTATTATTCTCTGTACAGTGAGACCATTAAAACAAGGGGGGAAGTTTTTCATATGCTATCTTGTTGACTTTTTAGAATTAGAGAATAATAGTGTAAATTATTTTTCTTTCCTGAATTTTGAGATGCCTACTGGAAGTAGCATAATCTATAAAAGTTCAGACAAGCATAAGCAATTCCACTATAAGTTGAATGCATGTAGGCAGTACCTATTAAAATAATACTTGACAGTTCATGGACTTTGCAAAAATGATTGCATTTGAAATGACCTTGTGTGACTGCCGTGACCATATTTGGGGATGACCAACTTTTAAAACAACATTCATTCACTCTTTTTTTTCCTCTAAAGGACAAACAAAAAATTATGACATTGATCAGATTGCACACCACAGCTTTTCAATATGGTAGGTTTCAGTGCCTCCCAGCTTACCCAGGCCCTCTTCAGTGGAGGAGGGAGAAAAGTAAACACATTATCATAATTAGCATGGAAGGGGCTGTGGTTGAGGTAAGCTCTTGGCACTATTAGCTGAACTCCCCTGAGGAAAGTCTGAGTGGGTGAGTAGCAATTAAATGACGAGGGTGGCGGTAGAAGAGGGGAGGGTGGCGGAGGATCTTCTAGTCAGAATGAGCAGCATGCCCAGATCCTTTAAAAAGAGGGGAGACGGGGCTGGCACAGTCATGGGTAGGAGGGAGAGAGGAAATATGAATGGAGGAATGCACGCCAAATGCCTTGCAGGTGCCTGAACCTGAGAGTATTATAATCCACGCTAATGAGTTTGGGCTTTATTCTGAGAACATCATGAAAGGGTTTTATACAGGCAAATAACATAATCAGGTTGGCCTCTAGAAAGCTCATTCTAAGATTTAATGATATCATAGAGAATATTTTTATTTGATTTTCAAATCATACCCTTTTCAGCATCTTTCTCAGAGAGTGCTTTGCCTTTGTTTTCCAAATCCAGGGTTCTTGAAGCCTTGCTTTAGAGATGATCACATAAAAAAGGCCTTTCCTGCTCTCGGTGCTCCCTCAACTTGGGGATTTATAGTGATTTTTAAAGTTTGAGGGCACATGCAGTATAGGTGGAGGTTGTTTAGCCACACAGTGTGAGTTCCACTCTCAAAAAACCAGGTAACTGACTTGCACATTAGCAAAGGAAGGAAGGACTTCAGACTTTCAGATTTTTTTTTTTTTTAATTCTTGGGTGAATGAAAACAATTACATTGTCAGTATAAGTATAAAGTAAACTTGATATGGGGAGGTGAGAAGGTGGAATCTGGAATGACTCCTGAGAAATCTGCTGTGGGAACCAGGAGGATAGGAAACCAAGCAGGTTGGTGGTGAGTCAGAGGATAAATTCCGTTCTGGACATGTAGTGCCAACGCCTGAAGACCATCCATGCGGGTGGTTTTGTAGATACAGAGATTAGGATCTGAGGCAAAGATCTGAACCAGAGATTAAGGTTTACCAAACTGTGCTCTAAATAAGGAAGAAACACATGATCCAGAGATTGACAGTCTGGGGGAGATAAACACCAGAGGAATTTCACGAGTAGTCAGCACTTTTTGCCAAGTGTGTGTGTGGGGGGTGGGGGTGGGGGGGGGGGAATGTCGCTTTTTTTTGTTCCAGCCTGGTCCAGCTAAAGCCAAGACATGCCTTGGATTTAAAAGTTAGGGCTCCAGTGAGTTCCTTTGCTTACACTCCGAATTTGAGAATCAGTGTATCTTCACATTGGTTCATTTTTGCCTTTCTTATTTCTTACTCTTTATTTTCACACCTTTCTTCAACAATCAGAAAAGCATTCTAGTATTTGCCTAGAACAGTGGTCGGCAAACTCAGTCAACAGTGCGGCAAACCACGGCTCTTGAGCCACATGTGGCTTGTGAGCCGCAGTTTGCCAACCACTGGCCTAGAAGGAGAAGAAGACATTACAAGACAAGCATATTAACACCATGGGGCCTGACTCTTATTGAGTTTGGAAGGATAGGGAGAAATAAAGCTAACAAAATGTCTTAGTCACTCAGCACAGTTCAGTATAACCTATCCACATTGCAACTTTTCTCCTAAAATCAACCTTAAGCTCTGGATGCATAGCAAATACATTTAAATGTTTTAAAGGCGCTTTAAAAATCTCAATGCTATATTTTTCTATTAAGACAACCAAGGAGTACCCTTGAGAAATGGCATTGCTTTGGAGAGAGATGATGACCTCAGTGTCAAATGTTGGAAGGGTAACTGGAGGTGACCTGTCAGACAGCTGAAGTATGGAAGTAGATCAAAACTAGGTAGATTTAGAAGTCACGTGTCCTTGATTATTTAACCACAAATACAGGTAGGATGCAAAGGGTGAAAGTTGAGAAATGTAAGGAGTGACCCACTATTAATAGATAAGCCACAGTGAAAAATCAGGCAGAAGATGAGAGCTAATGAAAGTGGATCTTCTAGAAAAGGAAGAGGGCAGAGAACACACTAAGTAAGCACCAACAAGCTAAAAGTAGCCATAAAAGCAATTTGTAATTTTTAAACATCCCACTCACACATCCGCCATCTGTGGCATTCAAGTCGATGTAAGATCTCAAGCAACTCTAAACACTGATTTTCAAAATGGAACTCTAAACACTGATTTTCTAAGATTGTCTGTTTCCCAGAAGGATAGACAGGTACAGCAAAATGGGACCGTACAGGAGCATGACACTAGCGGGTAGGAGGCTAGCAGAAGCCTTATTTAGTCTGACTAGTGTGACCTGAGCAAGTCACTTAACGTCCTCTTGTTCTTCAAGGATATCTCATCACTAAAATGAAGAAGTTGGGTTTGGGCTGTAAAGGCTTTTCAGCTCTAAGATAAAAGTATTTTCTTATGGAAAAGCTTACCCTCTGTCTTTTTTGTTTGTTTGTTTGTTTGTTTGTTTGTTTGTTTTAAGGGAAATACACCATTTTGGAGAAGTATAAAAAACTGACATGCCCCTTTGTTTTAGAAAAGTGCCCAACCAGCATGGGCCCTGGATAGGTCAGTAGTAGGGGTAGGATCATGGCCCAAAATGTTAGCACTCACATCTTAAAGTAGGCCTGCATCATTTCTGAGTTAGCTCAGTGTATTAATTGCATAACTTAGAAAATTGGTTGGTTAGAGAATGTTCATGTTTTATAATCTAGATTCTAGATAATCACATTTTAAAAAATATGTTTTTATTCATTTCAGAGAGGAAGGGAAAGGGAGAGAGAAATAGAAACATCAATGATGAGAGAGACTCATTGATTGGCTGCCACCTGTACTTCCCCTACCCAGGGGATCAAGCCCACAACCCAGGCACGTGCCCTGTTTCATAGGTTGACAACCACTGAGCCACACCAGCTGGGCTCTAGATAATCACATTTTAAGAAACTTTTAGATTTGGGTAGATAAGGTGCTAGGTATCATCCAGTTCTTATTTTGCCCTCTAATAGATGTCGACTCAGCTTTGCAAATGCCACAAAAAAAGACAATTTGGTACCATGGAGAATAGAGTACTTTAAATAACTTATTCAAATGATACCGCTACTCTGACATCCAGGCTTCATGTGGGAAAGAGGATGGAGCCAACTGCTGGGTATTAACCCTGCCTTTTCTAGATTTTTCATCATTACTTGTATGTGCCAGAGATCACATGAAAAGAACATAATGGCAGAGGATTTTGTGTTTATAAATCCTTACATTGAAGCTTAGCCCCTCAGCAGTTCCAGAATGTAGACATCTGATCCGTGCAAAATGATGTCACCAGACAGCCACTGAGTATCCAGGGGAAACAAATGTTGGTCTTGGATTAGCAAGCACTGCAGAATCCACCTGCTTCTCTAGAAGGGGTTTGGTCAGGAGGTGAAGGGATGGTCCGATTAGACTTCTGAAAATACCTTCCCCAAATTAATATTGAGAAAGGAGGTAGGCCTCAGTACTTTATTAGGACACCAAACATTAAAGAAAAGACATATGTGAGGTCTGACTGAGGGATTGAAAATGTTCTTTATTTGACCCAGTTTTCTAAGGCATGTTAGAAGAGCTAACATGGAATGTGTTTTTTTCCTCCTTCCCACAAATGAAGATAACTAACTGGGCCACTTATCCCACTAAACCCTGCCACCTGTTGTAACACTTTGCATATTATATTGTTGCATGCAGCTTCCTCTTTTCCAGTGAACTGAGCATGAGCGATACCATAGCAGGATTGAAATAGTCTCCACCGAGGAATTTTCGTTTATGCTTTAGAGACGTTAACATTTCTGCTCAGGGCTCTGTTGCTTTTTTTACAGACTCCATTTTTCCCCATTAAAAAAAATAACATTAAGAGAGTCTTCTTTTTACCAATTAGGTCAAAGTCCTAAAATTTTAAGACCCAAACCCCATGGTTTAGAGCGAACTGATTCACAAACCATACGTGACTTTGCTACGAGAAGAAAGGGTATGTACTTTAGCACCGCATGCTGGATGGGGCCTTGGGAATTTAATTATTCTGTGAAAAGTAAAGATAGAGCCTTAAGTCCAACTGCTTTTGTAAATGAAGCTTCCCAGCATGCTATTTCTAATGAATGCTTCCCGTAATAGAAAGTGAGTCTCCTTTTTATGCCATTAACAGCAGCATGTTCAACATTTGATAATATGTGATAATCAGTCTTGTCCTTTTGCGTTCTTTTAACGCTTTGGGCTTCAATACATTATTTTCTGTAAGCTTGTGAGCTGCTTGTGAATTCCAATTGTCGCCTGTATTTATATATAATATATGATTTCTGTTCTGAGATAGGATGCAAATGCACTCCCATGGATTAATTGTTTTATGCCATGGCTTAGAATTTGACAGCAACACTGCTATTAACCTTTGGGTTTCAAAAAAGGGAAATGTAAGAGTGAAAGAAATACTTTCAGTCAGCACAGTATTCTGTACATGTCCGTTGTGTCTAGATGAGCAAAATTATTTTAACTTGAACTTAAATCAGTCTAGTCTTTAGAAAATCTCATTGAGTTTTTTTGTATTTGAGTTAAAATACCTTGTTACGAGCACCAGTGAATCTACCTAGCCCTTTACAATGACCACTTATTTTATTGTTTGATGGTAATTATAACATAGTTGATTAAAAGTACATATAAATGGTCAAAGACTAGAAGGAAACTTGGAAAAATGGGAAATTTTTAATTTAGAATAGTAGGATGAAAGGTGACTAAAATACTTAGCCAGTATGTTTAAATAGTTTCCTAAAATATAATTAACATTAACAAGTAACATTATTTTAGTTCTTCTCATTTAATTAATATCTGAAAAGTGTTTTGGTCTTGATGAGAAGGCCCGAGAGCTCTGTGGTTTGTACTAGCATAGCGATTGTCACTGCAATAATGAAGTAAATAAGCAAAGACCATTTATAAATTTAAAAAGTAAGAATCTTAGTGTTTATTTACTTTTACTTAATTTGGTAGAGGTAATTGCTTGATTATGGCCTTTTCTCAGAGCTGAATTTGAGTCTAAAGATATAATTATTGCTTTGTTTTCTTTGTTTCCAGACTGAGCATGAACTAATTTAGAAGATTTGGTCATTCATTTTTTTGTTTGTTTTTTATTTTAACAAAATTTTGTATTTAATGCTTTTCATACATTATTTTATTGTATAGTTATATAACTGAGACTTATTGAAGAATCGGAACATTTTTATGTAGATGATTAAATTTCCATGTTTAAGGATAAAATTAGGTAAAACTAAAATAAGAAAATCATGAAAAGTATAAATCAACTAAGTGTAAAGGAATTGTATCACATTACTCTCTTTTGTCATCAGTTAGTTTATCTTCATAAAATAGTTACTTAAATTAAGAAGCAACATGTTTGTAATAGAGCTTTAGGCTTTCAGTCAACAATCATGAAACATTATCTGATTAACTTTGTCACTAATTGTTTAGCTGTGTGATCTTGGGCAAATCATATAAACATCCACGAACATTGTTTCATCTGTGAAACTAGTTGGTCGTAGATGTACTCTTCTATTACTTATAAATATATAGGGAGAGGATCTGGTTTTGTTTTCCAAATTTCTGTATTCTAAAATTTCTTTTTCTCTCTCTTATTTCAGCCAAGCCAGCACCTTTAGAAATAAAACCTTTGCCAGAATGGGAAGAATTACAAGCCCCAGTTCGGTCTCCCATCACTAGAAGTTTTGCTCGAGAGTAAGTATTATTTAAATATATAACTTGATTGTTCCTTATAACAGAAAATACAGTACCTGGAACAGTGGCTTTCAAAGGGTGGTCTGGGCAGCCTCCTCTTGGGGGTTCTGTGAAATCAATGTTTTCATTACGATACTGAGCTGTCAATTGCTTTTTCCGCTCTTCTTCTCTCATGAGTGTACACTGGAGTTTTCCAAAGGCTGCATAACATTAAAGGATACTGTGTGACAGCAAATAGAATGTGTATTTGTGTACTCTTATGTTTACATTGTTTTCTATTTCTTGTGATGTGGTAAATATCAATAGATAGAACCCATATAAACAAAAGTCCCTTGGAATTCTCAATAGTTTTTAAGAGTGTAAAGAGTTCATGAGGCTAGAAATTTCTAAGAACTAACTGATCTGGAAAATATGGTAGTTTCTTGCAGAACTTATTTAATTAAGATTTTTTTAAATGTATATAAAGAAATGAATATATGCAGTTACCAACCAGTGTTCAATATGTGTACATGTTTCTTGTGTACATAGTTATTTTCAATGGGAATTCATAAGTCTTTTCTTTTTATGTCTTTTGACTTTCTACTTATCCTCTAAATCCCTAACAATACTTTTTCTTTGTTCTACACAGATCATTTGGTGCCCAAAATATACATTTGCAATGTAGCTATAAATTTTGTTTTTGATTTGAATGTGCACTAAAATTGGATTATAATAAACTAGAGGCCTGGTACACGAAATGTGTGCACTCAGGAGGGTCCCTCAGCCCAGCCTGTGCCCTCTCTTAGTCTAGGAGCCCTTGGGATCTGGGGATATCCGACAGATGCGGACCACTGTGTTCTCCAGCTGAAGTCTGGTTCAGGGCTTCTGGCTGAGCAGCACTCTCTCTGTGAGAACACACTGACCACCAAGGGGCAGCTCCTGCATTGAGCGTCTGCCCCTTGGTGGTCAGTGAGCATTATAGCAACTGGTCGTTCCCTTGTTTGGTCAATTGCATATTAGCCTTTTATTATAATAAACTAGAGGCCTGGTGCACGAAGTTTCGGGGAGAATCCTCAGCCCAGTCTGCACCCTCTCCAATCTGGGACCCCTCAGGGGATGACTGGGCACCATCATCTTTGTGAGGGCATGATGGCCAATTAGCATATTCCCTCTTCATTAGATAGGATGTGCAAATAGATTATTATAAACTTAAATGGGAATTTCTGAAAGGATGAAAACTGACTGGTCTTTATTTTGGAAGTGACTTTAGAGACTCTGTCAGGGTGTGTTTGTAATGATAATTTTCGTAATTAGTTCTTCTAGGTTTCCCATGTCTCCCCGACCGGATTCAGTGCACAGCACAACTTCAAGCAGCGACTCGCATGACAGTGAAGAGAATTATGTGCCCATGAACCCAAACCTATCTGGTGAAGACTCGGTATGTAAAGTCTTCATCTTCACTTCTCTCTTCTTTCTTCCAGTCTATCAGTCTTATCCTTACTTATTTTCTTTATACCTAAGGAAAAAGGATAAAAGGCAATTTTTTAATGCTTTTTAAAAAGTAGTATGCTAATGTCTAAAACCAGTAGAGGGTCGAAGTGTAATATCAATGTCTAAAAAGTAGAAATAAAATTAGTTAATTTTAAAAAGCTTCCAGTTGTAATTTTTATAGATGTACTTGATTTTTGAAACTATGCAAGGAAATATTTTTTACTGGATGCTGCCTATCCATTTATACACAGGTCCAAAGTCAAACATTCGTGAATTGGGCCCTTCCTGTGACTCCTGACATTTGAATGACAAATACATCATTACCAAAGACAAATATCATTATGTATCAATAACAACAAAAATATGTTCAATAATTTTGCACATTTTAAAAATAATTTTAGGAAAACAAACTTGTTTTTATTTTATTCTTTTAATTCACAGAACACTCATAATAACTCCTAGAATCTTAGGGTTTTTCTAAACAGTTTTAAGAAAACACTGGGTTAAAGTCTAGAATGCAGTGACGGGCTATTCCCAATTGAGATTAGATCAGGAGCAAATGGGGCATAAATTTTAACAATGCTTCAAGATGAAAAAATTTCCAGTTCCAGTAACAATTAGAAAACAGCTTACCTAGCAATTCTGAGAAATACTTTTTGGGAACAACTTACTGAGATTAAACGTGTACATCAGCCGAAACCGGTTTGGCTCAATGGATAGAGCATGGGCTTGGGGACTGAAGGGTCCCAGGTTCGATTCCAGTCAAGGGCATGTACCTTGGTTGCGGGCATATCCCCAGCAGGGGGTGTGCAAGAGGCAGCTGATCAATGACTCTCTCTCATCGATGTTTCTAACTCTCTATCTCTCTCCCTTCCTCTCTGTACAAAATCAATAAAATATATTAAACATGTACATCAGATAAACTCATGGGTTCCTTTCATAGCCTTGTGCTACTGTGAATTCTAGGTGTTTCCAATTAGGGTAACACTGGACACATTTGAATACAAACATTTTCCACTGGACACATTTGAATACAAACATATTTTCACACATACACACTCCTGTTTGATTTTTTTTATGTTAGAATGAAATATCACCTCATTTAGAGGAAAAAAAATAAGTTTCTTTATGAGCAGGAGGAAAATGGCTGTTTGTACTGAGTACCAAAACTTTCTTATTTTTTTGTCCGCTGCATGTTGCTGTCAATATTGTATTAGGAATAGTTGATAAATTTGGTTTAAAAATCTGTTCCTACTAATAGAGCCATCACATTTTGTGGTGCAGATTGATTACTGCATAATCACCATGCCTAGCGTGTGTAGAATGTACAACAGGCCGCACTCACGAGCTATAGAGCAACCCAGACCATGTCCCGTTGACCCGCGGCAGGGCCCAGCGCAGAGCCCGGACCTGGCACAGAGCATCTTTTTCTAATTCACAAAAACATGGCACATGGCCTGTCAGCAGCCCTGCTTGCAAATGAGGGGTAAACTGTTTTCGTAGCAGTTGTCTTTGCCCTAAATCACAGCCTACTCTGTTTAACCTGAGCAAAAATTGCTGTCCACTATCTCCCTTCTTTATCTTTTTTTTTTTTCTTTTTCTTTTTCTTTGAGACTAGACCTACTATTGTACAAATCCTATTAGGATGGAAGGGATAAGACCAAGAGAACACAGGAAATTAGGTGGTAAAAATTCCAGATGGTTGGAATAAAATACAGTTTGCCAATCGGGTCATTATTCTAGAAGCTTTAATTAACATACTTGTTCTAAAACTAATTTCAGTGTGAAAGCCTTTAAATAAAATACAGAACTTTAAAAAAAAATTAATTTGAAGGCAAGGTGCATAAGGATCTTGTAGTTTAAAAATATAATTTGCTCGCTCTGACTGGTTTGGCTCCGTGGATAGAGCATCAGCCTGTGGACTGAAGGGTCCTGGGTTCGATTCTGGTTGGGGGCACATGCTCGGGTTGTGGGCTCGATCCCCAGTAAAGGGTGTGCAGGAGGCAGCCAAATCAATGATTCCCTCTCATCATTGATGTTTCTATCTCTCTTTCCCTCTTCCTCCCAGCCTGAAATCAATAAAAATATATTTAAAAATAAGTAACTATGTAATTGAATACATATATCATTTTAATATATTCAGGTTGAGCTATCAAAACTTTAGTAGCTTGACATCCCAGTCTTGGTTTGAACGAAGTTTGACATTTGATACTACTTTCAGCTTATTCTAAGTAAGTTTTGATCAGTTTTGTTTTGTTTTTTTTTAGATATTACTTATTTTCCCCCAATCCTAAAAAGATATTTAATTTTATAAGCAGACACTTTTCAAGCTATGTCCTCTTGAAATAGACATTTAGGCTTTAGTAGATGGCAAGTGAGAAAAGCAATATGTCTCATGAATGTTTGGCAGTTGATTTTGTTGTGTTGTCCTTTCAGAATCTTTTTGGCAGTAGCACTCTTGATGGAGGAAGCAGCCCTATGATCAAGCCCAAAGGAGACAAACAAGTGGAATACCTCGATCTAGATTTAGATTCTGGAAAATCCACACCACCACGTAAAGTAAGTGAAAGCTCATTCTGTAAATACAGGGTTGGGGGAAATCGGTTTATGGTTGTGAATATATGAAACATAGAGTTTACTCTTGTATAATCATTTATTAGTTACTGTATTATTTTCCGTATGAAAAACTATACCAATTCTCTTCTTTGAGGTTTCTGATTAGACATTAGTTAGAACTTCTCATTCTATCTTTTATACCTCTTATCAATCTTTCATATTTTCTCTTTTATTTTTTAAAAAAATTTTGAGCATTTTACATATATATGTTTTATAATGTTTATGCAATAATTTCAATATCTGAAGTTCTTGGAGGTCTGAATCTGTGCTTATTGTTTTTGCTGACTTGCACTTCTGATGGCTTGTTCCCTTGTGTGTTTTATTTTTACTTACTTATTTTTTTAATCCTCACGAGAGGATGTTTTTTCATTGCTTTTTAGAGAGTGGAAGAGAGAGAAAGACTGAGAGAAACACTGATGTGAGAGAAACACATTGATTGGTTACCTCCTGCATGAGCCCTGACCAGGGCCCGGGCCTGGGAGGAGTCTACAACTGGATAGGTGCCCTTGACCGCAATCGAACCTGGGACCCTTCGGTCCTCAAGCCAATGCTCTATCCACTGAGCCAAACTGGCCAGGGCCCCTTGTGTGTTTTATACATTGCTATTGTGAATTTATTTTGCCGAGGCTATCTGAGGGAATCTTGCATTGTTCTCTGCTAGGAAGCAGTGGAGCTCCCATGCTAGGACCAAGTCACTTCCCTTCAAGGCTCCTGAGCCTAACAGAATAGACCTGGTTCAGCATGCCTCCCACCTAGCGCCTCCTAACCTTGCTGAGATTGACATTCATTCTAAAGCACTGCCTTTACCATTTAGCAGGCCACTGCTGCCTCTGCTTCCCTCACACCTCGGGGATTTTCCTTATTGTCTAGCAAGCCCAACAAGGCATTAATAATTATTTTTGGCCCTAACTGGTTTGGCTCAGTGGATAGAGCGTCAGCCTATGGACTGAAGGGTCCCAGGTTCAATTCCAGTCAAAGGCACATGCCTATGTTGCAGGCTCGGTCTCCAGTGGGGGGCATGTATGACGCAGCCCATCAATGATTTCTCTCATCATTGATGTTTCTCTCTCTTTCTCTCACTCTCCCTTCCTCTCTGAAATCAATAAAAAATATATATATATATTTTTTTAAATAATATTATTTTTGTTTTAAGTTAACTAATATTTAGTTGTATTTTAGGAGTAAGAGGGCCAGCCCATCTGCCTATGTAATTTGTCATTCTTGAAAGTACTGCTTTTGAAAAAAACTATTCAACTCTGAAAGTAAGCACTGATACATGTTCTCAGGGCTTGAAAAAGTAGAGCTTAAGATAAAGGCTAACGGTTCTAGAAGCAAGTTGTGTGTCTTAAGATGAACTAGGTGTCTGCTGTCCTTACTTTATAAGAATTTCATCTGTGATGGGAAGCATTAGTTTGAATGCTTATTATATACTAGCGGTCCAATTCATGAAATTCGTGCAAGAGTAGGCCTTCCTTCCCCCGGCTGCTGGCACCGGCTTCCCTCAGGCACCTGGGACCCCGCCTTCCCTCGCAGCCCTAGCTTCGTCCAGAAAGTCGTCCGGAAGGACATCTGGTCTAATTAGCATATTATGCTTTAATTATTATAGATGATAATTTTAAATGTAAGGAAAAACAGTGTACAGGAAAAAGAGAGACAACATTGTTAAATTGAGGTGCTGTTATTTTTGTGTGTGTGACCAAATAGAATTTCAAGAGTTACGTATTCTGCATGTTTATCTGTGTTTAAAGACTGAATTTTTTCTTATTGTTGTTAATCCTCACCTAAGGATACCTTTCCATTGATTTTTAGAGAAAGTGGAAGGGAGGGAGGAAGGGAGAGAGAGACACACAGAGAGAGAGATTTCGATGTGACAGAGACACATCGATTGACTGCCTCCAACACACACCCAGACTGAGGCCAGGGATTGAACCTGCAACAGAGGTATGTGCCCTTGCCTGGGAATTGAACCCACAACCTTTCAGTGCACAAGCCGACACTCTGACCACTGAGCTCACCAGCCAGGGCTTAAAACCAAATTTCACTCAGAAGCATTCCTTTCTATGTGGAAATTTATGATTTATATATATATATATTTTTTAATTTGCGTTTTTCTAGCAAAAGATCAGCGGCCCAGGAAGCGGTGTAGCAGACGAGAGAGTGGATTATGTTGTGGTTGACCAACAGAAGACCCTCGCTCTGAAGAGCACCCGAGAAGCCTGGACAGACGGGAGACAGTCCACAGAATCCGAAACACCAACCAAGAGTGTGAAATGAGCATATTGCTCTGCTATCTCTGAACAAAAGAGAACATAATTGCAAAGATAAATCCTGCTTGACTGAAGAAGACTTGACACTTAAACTCCAGGTAGATCCTGGAGTACTCTCTAGTTGAAGTCAAAAGACCTTTCAGACATAATCAAGCAATTGACACTGTCAGTGGTGCTTATGGTATCTGAACAGTTCATAGCCTGTTAAAAAAAAAAAAAAAAAAAAAAAAAAAGTAGACAAATAGTATTGTTTAGTTCCCAGAAAAAAAATGGTTCCATAGTTACCACACTTGTAGTATTACTGTATTTATGCACTTTTTCATTTTAAACATTGGTTGGGGTATTCGCAAACGTACCTTACCATAACTCCTTTGGGAAGTGTTTGTTTTTCCTCACACTACTCTAGATAGCGATAGATACTAAGTTAAACTAAGCTACGTTTAGGTTTGTAAATTTCTCCTTCAACTTCAGTGTAACGTTAAGGTGAGAAAGTAGATTCACAATTTATCTTTCTCCTACCTGAAACTCCAGGTGGTAGTTGTTGATCTACAGAGTCCAGTTGGACTCATCATTCATTGCTTTCTCGAATGCTAAGGATAATATGTATAGTGGTATTAGGACCGAGTTCTCTGGCTCATGTACAGTTAGTTCTCAGTGTACAACTTTATTCTATTTTGTTAATTACAGTGTTCTTAGTTCACTGAGTGGAGATTCTGCCGGGTGGGATCTTGTACCTCGGGAAGACTGAATAATTACACTACCAAGTAAGCCCTACAGGTCGCTGGTGGCATGATGTGCTCTCACACATGTTAACACGTATTAAACTTTATGTTATTTGCAAATCGTAGTTTATGTAACTAATCAGGTACGTACCAGGCACTGATGTGCTACTACGCCAATCAGGTTTAGACAGTGAGCTTTAGTTTGTTCATGTTAGTCCTGAATTCCAATTTGGAACTAATGACACCATTGACATTCACTGTTAGGTATAGCAACATACTGTGATTTTTTTAACTAGACAGTAATTCAGATTTATTACTCTAAGGATGAAATTCTATCTTTTGACACCATAATGCCCTTTCTATGATTTTTTAACTTTACTTAATATTCTTCTTAGCCTTATATTTAAATTCCTATGCAATTAATATTTTATACCTGCATTAAAAGAAAAAAAGATGTTATGTGATTCTCACATGTAGCACCTATTGCTTTTCCAGTAAAAAAAAAAAAGGAAAAAAAGGAAAAAAAAATTAAGGATTTTGTACTGTGATTTATATTCACTGTCCCAGTTCAGGAAATATTGGAGTCTTGCTATAATGTGAAATCTTATAGTCATGGACCTCTTTCAACCAGATTTGTGAAACCACCAGAGGGATCATATAATTCTGTCTCACCTATAACATGATATCAAGACCACAAATTATAGTGAAGCTACAATTATATGTATCTGTCTTGGCTTTGCTCCGTAATTTAGAAAGCAGATAAAGCTGTTTGTTTGTTTTTTAACTACATGGCATACAATCTCTCACGTATTGATTTGAGACCCGCGGACAGTTGTCAGAGGGGGCGTAGAGATCGCAGTGCCCGTGGCTGAGGCGAGACCCCCCTCCATTCAGACCTCTGTTGCCTGAGAACACAGATGTGCCCTGATTCCTGGCCTCTGGCCCCAGTTCTGTGCCTCATCAATGTAATGGGTTTGTTTCCCCGATCCACAAACTAAAAATGTTCAAAATGGGATGATGAATGGTAGATTAGTAACAGTTGATGCTTTTAAGTGTTTGCTCCTTTTTCAAACAAAGGCTAAAACCCAGAAGTGGATTTTGAGGTGGATTTTGAAATAAAAAGATTGAGTTTGGCGTGCGCAAGCTGTTTCCTAATGAAACCACAAAATAAAATCTAAAATCATTACAGTGTGCCTGAATACAGTGCAGTTTGGTGTGTGACGATAGGAAGTTGTGTTACGGGGAGGAGGGCTATATTTTGAGATTAAAACACAATACACATATTCATTCAAAAATAGAAATCTTGTTTAAAGCTGCCTATCGCGAGTCTAAGCAATTGCGAATTTTTTAGTGTAATTTTGTTATTACAAGTTATCACCCTTTTTGAACACCTGCAACACTGATTTGTAGAAATGTTCCCATTGTGCAGAATTTAAGAATAGAAATGTCTTAAGTTTGTCTCAGATGTTGAATGTTGTATTAACAAATTAAAAGGCAGTTTCTTACAGAACACTCTTTTCCAAACATTTTTAGCCTAGGATCTTTTTTAAATAAAATTTTGTGTAACCCCCAATACCGGAAGCCTGAAAAATTTATTTCATCAATATAAATGCGTTTGAAGTTCACATTTATGTTCATTTATTTTAGTCCATTCTGAATAACACTGATAAGAAATTGGGGTTATCGATAGCTGGTGAAAAGCGTCAGCAATTTCTATCCCTTGTTTTATTTTCATACTGTCAAGAAAATTATGATTCACACAAACGTATGGAAGTACAAATAATAATAGGTTTAAGCACACATATCAGGATATTCTTAAGGTGAATTCCAAGGTTGATACCAAAATAAATTATCCCGGTAGGGGAAGTTGATACATAAGTCTCTAATATGGAAAACTCAAGGTATGTAACAGATTAGGATGTACATCTTCATTACATTTTAAAAATATGTGTGTGTATATATATATATATATATATATATATATATATATATATATATAAAAGGCTAATATGCAAAGTGTCCACTTGGGAGTTCAACCAGGAGTTAGATCTCTTGCTATGACGTGTGCTCACCACCAGGGGGTGGCATGGAATTAAGGGAGGCCCTGGCCAGCAGCAGTCAGCCAGGGAAGGAAGGCCCCAGCCAGCAGCTGAAGACCCTGATTGAGCCTAATCACTGGCCATTTAGATACAGAGATAACATAGAAGTTTATATTATCTTTATGTGTGTGTGTGTGTGTGTGTGTGTGTGTATACACACACACACACACACACACACATATATATATTTCAGAGAGGAAAGGGGAGAGGGAGAAAGAGCTAGAAACATCAATGATAAGAGAGAATCATTGATGGGCTGCCTCCTGCACACCCTCCACAGGGGATCAAGCCCATAATATAGGCAGGTGCCCTGACCAGGAATTGAAGCCGATTCATAGTTCAACCACAGAGCAACACCAGCCAGGCAGAAATTTCTATTTTTGATCTTTCCTTGAGTTTTTATCTAAATAAAATATCCAATTGTGCCTATTTCTATAGGGTCACTCGTTTTCTGTATGAAAGATCTCACTAAATCATGCTAAAATACAGTAGTCACACTTTAACTAAGTAGGAAAAGCTTCTGACACTGTTGCCACATGCATATGTCTTTATTTTTTCTTCATCTGGCCAGTGCTACCCACCTTTTGTTGAATAAAAGGCCAATAAATAAAGGTCTGTGTACAACTTTTCCTATCTTAAAACAGGTTTTATACATAAAACATGACTTGGAAAATAAGTGGCTGAGCCTTTTTATTTTCCTGAGAGCTTTCAAACATCTCTAGTATTTCATAAACCCCAGTCATAGCTCTTAAGTCAGTTGTTGGGCCTACTGGGCCATTAAATCACATTTGGAAATTTTGGGGTGGGTAAGATAATCTTTGAGATCGTTCTCCTCATCTGTCTTTCTGTCACCTTATACATGGTGAAACTTCTGGATATTTACATATAACTCCTTTGGGAAAAGAATCTCTAATAAACACTTTTTAAAATACAGTTTCATTAGAGTTTTATAAAGAGTAACTGCAATTTTGTTAATGTGTTATTGCATATTTAAAAGCCATGTTAGTGATGGGAGACATTTTATTAAATGTTGTGATGGGTAACATTCCTCCCTTGGATTCCTTGTTTTAAGATTACAAACAAATGCCCTGAAGGTATGGGTCAGTGGTTGATTACCCACCTGTGAACCAGGAGGTCACGGTTCAGTTCTTGGTTGGGGCACATGCCCAGGTGGCGGCCTCAATCCCCAGTGTGGGGCGTTTAGGAAGCAACTGATCCATGATTCTCATCATTGATGTTTCCGTCTCTCTCTCCTCCCTTCCTCTCTGAAGTCAATATATATATATATATATTGTAATTACAAATTTTTTTTCTTAATTAAATAAAACCTGTAGAAAGGTAAGTTTCTAATATGTGTTTCTATATACTTTATTAGACAGAACTTTATTACTATTACAAATGGTATATTGGTGATTAACTCTCAGCATAATTTGTCTCTGATTTTGTGGTAAATGGTGCTCAGAATATTTTGAATACTCATGTGGAATGCATTGTGGTACAGAAAAGGAAAAAAGCAAATCTCTTCAAAATAACCCCTTTTCTCAAATACGGCATTATGATGATTAATGTGTCTGTCCACTTGGCCAGGCCGTTGTGCCTGTGTTTGTTCAAATCTTGTCTAAATGTTGCTGTGGAGGTATTTATAGATATGATTAACATTTATAGATATGATTACATGACTTTAAGTAAAGCAGATCATCTTCCATAAAGTGGACAGTCCTCATCCAATCAGTTGAAGGCCTTAAGAGCAAGAACAAATTTCCCATACATAGACAAATTCTGCCTGAGGACTTTAACAGAATCCTGCCTGGATTTCCAGCCTGCTGATCTGCCCCACAAAATTTAAACTTGCCAGCCCCTACAATTGTGTGAGCCAATTCTTTAAAATAAATCTCTTCAGTGGATGGTTGGGTGGATAGAGGGATTGATCAATCCTATTGGTCTGTTTCTCTGGAGGACACTGACTGACACAGGTATTAGTTCCTTAATCTGAGTGTGTCTTACACATGTACCAAGCGATAATTTTGAGGTTTAATTTGAAATAAACTGGCAGTCTCTATGCCAATAAATTTTCTTTTCTAAAATAAAAGTGTTGGTGAATTTCTGAAGCAATATACTAATAGTGAAACATGTTTCTGCTTCTGTTGGCCATAATTTTTTTGTCTTTCAGGAACCATTAAGTTGGCATCTCCATTGAGGGAAAATATGCTAAGGAACAGAAAGGTTATTGGATTATTGCAGTGTGGGGCACCATATTCTATCAAGGACAGAATTTCATTTGCTATTACTTGGGTTGTGTTATTTAATTATCCCTGCTTTAAATTTCCCTTTTGTGTACAAAACATATATCCTACATACATCTGATCAACTTTATAAAAACAATGAGTCTGGAAGTTGCTTATTTCAATCTTTAGACAATACAATAATTCCAGAATTCCGACTGAGAAGAAAGCGCTGTTGTATATTTTTATGCTAGTAGAGGATGGCCTATTAAAAGTTAAGTCATTTGACTAGAGCAGTGGTCAGCAAACTCATTAGTCAACAGAGCCAAATATCAACAGTATAACGATTGAAATTTCTTTTGAGAGCCAAATTCTTTAAACTTAACTTCTTCTAACGCCACTTCTTCAAAATAGACTCACCCAGGCCGCGTTATTTTGTGGAAGAGCCACACTCAAGGGGCCAAAGAGCCTCATGTAGCTCTCGAGCCGTGCTTTACTGACCACTGGACTAGAATCACTGCCATATGTGTGGCATCATGCAAGGTGCTATGGAAAACACAAAAGAAACATAATTTTCATCTTTACAAATAATATGTGTAAAATAAAAACAAATGTATAGGATATTACAATAGTTTCTTCTGATGTAATAGCAATAAACTACTGAAGGAAAATAAATATATTTATAATAGAATAAAATAAACTACTAAAGGAAAGTTTATCAAAGAATCATAGTCAATCCCGGTTGGCATGGCTTAGTGGTTGAGCATTGACCTATGAACCAGGATGTCACAGTTCAATTCCCTGTCAGAGCACATGCCTAGGTTGTGGGCTCAATTCTCAGTAGGGAACATGCAGGAGGCAGCCAATCAATGATCCTCTCTCATTGATATTTCTATTCCCCACCTCCCCTCGTTTCTTTGAAATCAATTTTTTTAAAGTAAACTGTAATTGAAAAATAATAAACAAGTAAATAAATAAAATATTTCATAGAGATTGAGCAGGACTTTGGAGAATAGGCAAGAAAGAAAAAAGAAGGCATCCGAAAAGAGAATAATATGAACAATTTATTAGTTTGCTATTAATTTAGTTGTTTTATGAGGAGTGTAAAAAAAGAGAAGAAAAGCAGAATAGGGAAAATATTGGGTGGAAGGTTATAAATATTGTATGTATCTAATGCTATGTAACAACCCAAAAAGTAATGGCTTAAAACAAACAAACAAACAAACAAATAAAAAACAACAGTTATCTATTCTCACAGTTTCCATGGTCAGTAATTAAGAAGTATCTTGGTGAGTCCTAATGAAATGATGGTCAAATCAGCTGATACCGTAGTCATCTTGGTGCTGAAGGCTCTGTTTTCACAGTGGTCCACTCACATAGCAGAAGGCCTGTGTTCTCCTTCATGTGAGCTCTTCACAGAGATGCTTGAGTATCCTCACGGCATGGCATCTGGCTTCCCCCAACGCTATTGATCCCAGAGGCTCAGCAGATCGGCAATGCCTTTATGACTCGGTCTTAGAAGCCACACGCTGTCATCTCTAGTGGGTCCTACAAGCCACACACTGTCATTTCCGCTCTAATGGGTCCTTATAAGCCCTTGTGGAAGCAAACCTGCAAGGATATGAATAACCAGGAAAGATCACTGATAGGCAGCTATCACACAGGCAGAACTGAGCATTATGAAATGACGTGGTATATTCTGCATCTTCCCATTGCTATGAGAATGTGACCCTGGGCTCAGCCTTGGGGTGGTGGCTTCCTGAACTGGATTCTTGACTGTCTCCACCTTTGGCAGTACTGTGGCATTGGTCTGAGAGCCACTCCTAAAGACCTTTCACATCCATCAGGGATTGCAAAAGCCTTAATTCTCTATATTCCTCTTCTTAAGTTTAGAGGGGCTTAAGTCTGTTTGAAAATTGAGACAGGGGCCAGCCCTCTTGCATTCTGGAATACGTTTCTTGTTCCCATATTGTAAAACTGTAATTAAAGAAAATTTTGGAAGAGGAAAAATGCCCACAAACTGTTGCTTCCCTATCTTTGACTGTAATTGGATCCTGCTATTTGCATTGACTACTATCATAAATACTTCCCCAGGTGTTAAGGATCTGATTGTCATCTTTAAAGATTGCATAATATTCCTTCAAATATTTAAAAATACTCAGTGAATATATCTAATATATGTGTGGCCAGTAGAATACTATTATATACTACCAGGGGGGCCATAAGTTGGTACAACCCTTTTAAACAGTACTTG